GAGCAAATAGTATATATTGAAATATAAGAGCAATGTGTATTTTAATGGTGAGAAAGACTATGTTTCAGACCCACAATATCTTTTGGGGAAAATATCTTTCTTTGGTTGCCTTCCTAGACTCACTTTGTAAACATGTTGAGTTAGTAGCCTTGTGGATTGCTCTCTGCAATTCTAGCTAGAGGCTCAGATGCACGGACAAGCCCCGTGCAAGTGCACCCTTGTTAGCTATGATCCTACTCCAGCAGGAATGTTAGTAGATACAAGTATTCAGGACTGGAAGCACTCATTTTATCTTTTTAGAAAGAGCCTTGACATTTTATACTTTTTTAAAAAGCTTCTGTGCCGATGACTGTAACTCTAATGCCATGGATAATTCAGCAAGTCCGTTCTTTTGAAACATACAACTTTGTAAACATGTTGAGTTAGTAGACTTGTGGATTGCTCTCTGCAATTCTAGCCAGAGGCTCAGATGCACGGACAAGCCCCGTGCAAGTGCACCCTAGTTAGCCATGATCCTACTCCAGCAGGAATGTTAGTAGATACAAGTATTCAGGACTGGAAGCACTCATTATATCTTTTTAGAAAGAGCCTTGACATTTTATACTTTTTTTTTTAAAGCTTTTGTGCCAATGACTTTAACTCTAATGCCATGGATAATTCAGCAAGTCCGTTCTTTTGAAACATACACACAAGCAACACCAAGTGTGGTAGATTTACACAAAAAGTGTCACACTAAGCCCACAACGTGTGTTCCCTTCAGACATATATATATATATATATATATATATATATATATATATATATATATATATATATAGATATATAGAGAGAGAGAGAGAGAGAGAGAGAGAGAGAGAGAGAGAGAGAGAGAGAGAGACCCAGAGAGTGAAAATAGCCTCTGTTGGGCTGGGGAAGCTTCAGCTGGAGAGCAAAAGTGTTAGTGTATCATCTTTCAGAATGAGGGAAGCTAAAACCTGAACGCAGAAAATGTTCAGGCATTAAAGTTCCTGCACTGGAAACCCAGGAAAGGTCTAGCAGAGTCCCCAGCAGGAGAGGGATACAGGAGGCCCTTTGTGGGAAAAGCAGCATGGAGGTGTACAGGTCCAGATTGCGGGGCCTATGCTGTTGCTGAAGGAGGGGCCAAGAGGAACACACTGCATTTCAGTCTGAGTGGGAATCACACACCAATGTGTAAGTTCAGAAGCTGCCTTTTCAATCCACAACAACTGGATTCCAGTGGCTGGCACAATAGAATTTTATATGTGTGCATTTCCTTATTATTGACAGACACTCTTTTACTCCTGTGAAGAAATAATAATAATAGTAATAATAGTAATAATAGTAATAATAGTAATAATAATAATAATAATAGTAATAAAGTTGGAAGGGATCTTGGAGGTCATCTAGTCCAACCCCCTGCTCAGGCAGGAAACCCTATACCATTTCGGACAAATGGCTGTCCAGTCTCTTCTTAAAAACCTCCAGTGTTGGAGCATTCACCGCTTCTGGAGGCAGGTTGTTCCCCTGGTTAATTGTTCTCACTGTCAGGAAGTTTCTCCTTAGTTCTAGGTTGCTTCTCTCCTTGATTAGTTTCCACCCGTTGCTTCTTGTCCTGCCTTCAGGTGCTTTGGAGAATAGCTTGACTCCCTCTTCTTTGGGGCAGCCCCTGAGATATTGGAACACTGTTATCATGTCCCCCCTTGTCCTTCTCTTCGTTAAACTAGACATACCCAATTCTAGCAACCGTTCCTTATATGTTTTAGCCTCCAGTCCCCTAATCATCTTTGTTGCTCTTCTCTGTACTCTTTCTAGAGTCTCAACATCTTTTTTACATCATGGTGACCAAAACTGGATGCAGTATTCCAAGTGTGGCCTTACCGAGGCATTGTAAAGTGGTATTAATACTTCACATAATCTTGATTCTATCCCTCTGCTAATGCAGCCTAGCACTGTGTTGGCTTTTTTGGCAGCTGCAGCACACTGCTGGCTCATATTACCTGTCCATTTGGTTTTTCTTGCCTAAATGTAGAACCTTACTTTTTTCACCATTGAATTTCATTTTGAATAGATTGCAAGAGTTTTGCATCGTTAGCCAAATAAAGAAATAAAGCTAGCAAAGTTTCCAAGGATGTCCATTATTGCGCTTTGCCATCTTGCCATCTTTGCCCACAACTTGTGGACACCCGAAACTTTCTGTCCACAAATCCCTTTCCTTTCTGTGCAAATTTTCCCACTCCTATCAGACACAAGTTAAAGCAAAACACTTTTTAAAACAATGTTTTGTTTTAAAATTTAATTTTTGAAAGGTCCGGGGATAGGATTTGATTTTCCTTTTGTGTCTTTCTCCCCTCAGCAGCATTCCACAGACAGGATTAGTGCCTCTGCATATCAGCTGGATTGTGAAACTACTCCCATATATACTCTCAAATTTCAGTATATTATGTATCACAAAGTATGTCTGATTTTCCCCACTCCTTTGGGGGCTTTTCTCAAATACTGCCACCCCAAAGATGGTGAAATAAAAAATACATTGTAAAAATTCTTTGACAGCAACTTTACAATGTACGGATTTCATGGTGACTGGGGGATTCTGGGAGTTGAAGTCCACATATCATAAAGTGGCTAAAGTTGAAAAAACAATTTAAGGTGACCAACCGTCCTCCTTTTGGGAGGACAGTCCTCCTTTTGTAAGCTCTGTCCTCCCTTGAAAAGTGTCCTCCTTCATGTTCTCCTTTTCGATATTTGAAGACTAATCTGCAGGGCTTTTTTTCTCTCTCATAGAACGCTCAGAATGGCGTTCCGGCACCTTTTTTTGATGGGTTTTTTTTTTCAGCTTTTGCATGAGCTGTGCTACTCCCACTATTGGCTTTCGAAAGCCAATAGGAATTGCTGCTGAGTGCGCCAAAACACCCGTCCGGCAAACTTTGCACATGCAAGTTGTCTGTATTATTGTTGCAATGAATAAAATGTTTCTTTTATTTACGATATTTTTTTCTTCAATTTATTTGTGTCCTCCTTTTCATTGTAAAAAAGTTGGTCACCTTAGAAACATTGCTCAGGCTGAATAAATAGGTTGATAGAGACTGCACAGATAGCAGAGGCTACAATTGCTCAGGTACAATGCTAGCTGGGGTTAGAGTCTTGTCCAGAACCTACGTCAAAAGGGCTGGCATGGTGGATGTAGCTGTCTTAAGAATCATTAAAGACATATATCTTAACCCAAGGAACAACTTGACCTACAGCCTCAATGCACCACTTGGTGTTACAATTCAAAGGTTTCCATTTTGACCTCTGACAACCCTGGTTTCATTAAATTTATGAATAGGGTTTGATTGCAGATATAGATAAATAGAGAATGTGATAGATATTTTCAAAGTGCAGAACCAAACTTGGAAATGACTTCTAGGAAATTTCTCTAGCTAGTTTTACATTCTTCAGCCTCGTGTTATGCCCTTGATTTCTCTAATATAAGCTTTTAAAGTACCAGATTGTTTTACACTATTGATAAGGTGACCAACTTTTTTACAATGAAAAGGAGGACACAAATAAATTGAAGGAAAAAATATCGTAAATAAAAGAAACATTTTATTCATTGCAACAATAACACAGACAACTTGCATGTGCAAAGTTTGCCGGCCGGGTGTTTTGGCGCGCTCAGCAGCAATTCTTATTGGCTTTTGAAAGCCAATAGCAGGAGTAGCACAGCTCATGCAAAAGTTGAAAAAAAAAATCAAAAAAAGGTGCCGGAACGCCGTTCTGAGCGTTCTATGAGAAGAAAAAAAGCCCTGCAGATTAGTCTTCAAATATCGAAAAGCAGGACATGAAGGAGGACACTTTTCGAGGGAGGACAGAACTTACAAAAGGAGGACTGTCCTCCCTAAAGGAGGACGGTTGGTCACCTTACTATTGATGGACTATTAAACTCCTCACACTGAAGTTTTGAATTGTCAGGCCCAAGGCCATTTCCTTGAATTTCTTGCTCAAGCATTTGTTCAAGCTGGGCTTGTAGAAGTTCTCAACATAAAATACTTTTCTATGTAGCCACTGTGTAACCTTTTCTCTCTGCCTGTTCTTTCATATTTATTATTTTGTAGGGTTTTTTAAAATACCTCCTTCTGTAGATTTTTTTCCTCATCTCAACCTTTCTTTTTTTTTCCAGGAATAGTTCCTTCCATAATTTCCTTCACATCAGAGATCTTTTCTACATGTAGGCAGTTTATAAATGGCTTTTACACTTAAACAATATTTTATTTAATTCTTGTGTGGATAAACCTGCAAACTGGAAAATAGCATGCTTTCTTTCTAAGACTGAAGAATAGAAAAAAAAAAGCAACAGATTACCATCTTCTTGTGGAAAAGAAAGGACTCTTACAAATTCCAGAGGGTTTTTAGCAGAGAGATTTATTGCGCAGGTTCAGAAGCTATAGCAACAAGCAATTCTGAACCCCGAGGGCAGGTTCAGACTTCAGTTTTATACTTTCTTTTCCTCAGGAACAAAGGAATACACATTGTAATACATTAGGTCCGTTTCTCACGGGTATACAATGGAGAGTTTTGCTACATACATTGTATCCAAGTACAATGCACATTAGGTTAGTCACATACTGCTAACACAGCACTATTCCAGTAATTATGCAGACACATCATTATTCTAGTGATTGTTAACTTTTCCACATTAATCTGACATAATTCACTGCAGGTGGAGCCATTAACCTGCATAGTGTGAAGCTCTGCTTGCCATGCCACCATCAATGGATTTGTGTGATTTACTGGAACCACATGGAGTACACATCATATTTATACAAATGTAAATAAATGCTGTCTGTGGGAAGAGAGGGATGTTTAGACCTGGTCCTGGAGTTGCTTACTGAGGGATGCTAAAATGTCTTTTCCCCCTTTCCAGCTTTGCCCCTGCTGATGCTATCTGAGATCCTTGGACTCTGAGTTCCCATTACCTATTAATAACTCCAGGATGCCTGTGTGAGCAAAATCTCCAAGAGTCAAATGCAAAGCACTCCCCATCAGCACTTTGTGCTGTGCAGACCAGGAGCAGGGTGTGCGGGCCCAGGAGGGTCACCGGTTACCAAAGCCTCCTGCAGAATCCTTCAACAAGGGAGCCTAGAGACACCAATCCCTGCTCTTGCTACCGGAGGCTCCGTCGAGCGGCCTGTGGATGTGTGCCTAAGGTGAGTCCTCTGTGTGGTTATTAGCCAGTAAAGATAACTAGAAAGGGAGACAAAGGAACAATATGTCTAAAATCGGCATTATCTCGCATTATTTGCTAGCAGTTGGCTGTTGGGATAGAGGGCTAGCAAGAAAAGCATTGTGATAAAAGGCAACGGTGCCAACAGAAGCACTTGTATCGACTGACTTCTACTGCAATCCTCTTTGCTCCCTCTGAACACTCAATGTTGGCTTACTTTGGAGTGATCTTTGTCAACCAAATCCAGCAAGAGCCTTTTCTTCCATTAGAAAAAAAAAGGGGGGGGGCACAGGAAAAATATTCACTTAGAATTCCTGAATGCTGTAAGAATCCACTGAAATCCCTTTCTGGTTGAAGTGATCACCATTCAACATTTTCACTGACTGTCCTTAGAAGTTTTAGCGTTCTGAATTTGCTGTCTGGAGCATTTTGGATGGCTGCCCAGCTTTTCCTGTCACTTTCTTGGCCTTGGTGAATGTCAAAAGAGATTGGATCTTCTTCTTGGATGTATTTCAGTATTTCCTCCTCCCAGGCTGTTCTGCTTGCTAACGTATTTCACTAACAGAGCAGAAATTCCCCACGTGATCAGCTAGAATGATTGCTGTCTTGTCAACGCAAAATTAAAACTTCCCAGCTGTATTCTCTCTACCGCTGCCCCAATTTTGTAACCGCATGAGACAGGTTGGCATTTGCCAAAAAGATGACACAGATTCAACACTTCTAATGGAAAACCAATCTAAACTAGTAATTAAACCCCACCCAGGAGTCATTTTGTTGAAGAACAGGGACCTCCGATGCATTGACTAAGGGGTCCATAGCAAAGGTCAGCCTTCACACCTCATCTAAAAAAATAAAAAAAAAATTGTTAAAGTAGGTTAACTTTGAGCAGAGCCAAATACCCTGACCAGAATAGAGGAGTGTAAATCAGGAATTATTGTGTGGACTTTTATGAGAGAGAAAGAGAGCGGGCGAGAGAAATACAGTCTGATGAAATAATAGCCTTTCATTATTTGAAATGGGTGCACTTTATAAATCCTCTCTGTTTATGCCTGCAATTCTAATTGGGTCTTGGAGGAGAGATGGCAGAACCAACAGAATTTAGAAGTCGAGCTAGCCAATTTCTCCTTCTACTTTAAATAGAAGGAGGAATCAGCTCCAAGGATGTTTCTGAGCTCTATAATTATACCATTGGTCAGGGATGTCTTCTTTATTTCACTAGAACTCAAATTTTGGTATGCAAATGCCAAAACTCTTATGAACAATTCTTGTTATAAAACTGGCAGCTCAATGCTTGTTTCATTTTTAAACACACCCACAGTTTCAGAATTAATTTGGGATAGAAAATCAAGACAAATAAAATTGATTTGCTGAATTCCTTTTTTCAAGCATGAACAATTCTTCCAGGGTACAGAAAAAAGAGCTATTCGTTTCCTCTGTTGCAAGGTAGTTGAATTCGTAAGAAATATGGATATTCTTATTTCTAAGGATTTTGTCATTCAATTTTTCCATGCTAGTATTTAACCTTCTGATGTAAATAATCTGTCCATGAAAAAAAAGTTTTTTTTTACTTCTTACAATCTTTTTTTTGAGAAGGAAACTTCCTATCTTTGAAAGATTCATCTCAAGACTATATTAAAGATATAAATGTTCAAGCAATTGTAGCTCTTCATTTATTATATTTCATAACTTCTGTCTAGTGAAAAGATCTATATCTATATCTGTGATTTGTTTTAATTATCATCCTATAGATAAAATACTATATGCTGAGCCAAGAAAAGACAATGGATAATAGTGAGATTATGGAAGAAATATAATGAATGTTCAGCTTACTTCTATAATGCCGCAAGATTTCATAGTATTTTTTGAATCTCCAGTGAAAGTATCTTCATATATCTAGATATAGGGAACAGAGCCAATATGCCTTTAAAAGTGTAGGTGCTGATGACATAGAGAAATGTCAGAGAGATGGCTTGGATGCTAAATATAGTTTGTTAGGTAAGAAAGAGAAGATGGGATCTCCATGTTTAACTTTTTCTAAAATATCATATTCCAATATAATATAATATTAATATTCCAATATAATATCATGCTAGAAAGACAAGCAGGGAGATATATAGTTGTCAATATTTATGGATGAGAAACAAAGGCTGTTGTGTGTATATATATATATATATATATATATATATATATATATATATATATATATAAAACATATATAACAATAATACATTATATGAAGATCAAAAGAAATGTTAATACTATGTTTTATACATGGCAAAGTTATTAGTGAAATAATGATGGAAAAAACTATTGCAGAGAAAACTGAAATAAAATGGTTGAAAATATCAATGCCTAGTGCAGGGGTAGGCCTTGGCTCTTTTATGACTCGTGGACTTCAACTCCCAGAATTCCTGAGCCAGCCATGCTGAGGGAAAAGGGAGAGGTTTCCAAGCTGAGCCATGCTGCCTCAGGAATTCTGGGAGTTGAAGTCCACAAGTCATACAGTGGCCTAGGCTTAGGCCAGAGGTAGGCAACCTTGGCTCTTTTATGACTTGTGGACTTCAACTCCCAGAATTCCTGAGCCAGCCATGCTGAGGGGAAAGGGAGAGGTTTCCAAGCTGAGCCATATTGGCTCAGGAATTCTGGGAGTTGAAGTCCACGAGTCATAAAAGAGCCAAGGTTGCCTACCCCTGAAATTTCCTAGTGGAAGCACCACTACAAGAGACTTCCTCATTTTTCATTTTAAGGTAATTGCTTGAAAACATAAATAAACCTACTTTCTCAAATATAATTTGGACTGAGAGACATTAAAATCCCTTCTTGGTAATAAAGCAAATTGGGATAGACTCCTCAGTTATTCCATTTATTTCCCTGCCTTTATTATTTTATAATAATAAAGGCAGCAAACATACACAGTATTCCTTCCTCCTTCCATTTTCCCCATAACAACTACCCTGTGGAATGAGTTGGGCTGAGAGAGAGTGAGGTTACCCAGCCAGCTCCTATGCCTAAGGCAGGGCTAAAACTCACTCTCAAACTTGTCAACTTTGAGATGTATGAACTTCAAGTCCCAGAATTTCCTAGCCAGCATTGCTAGCTGGGGAATTTTGGGAGTTGAAGTCTACGCATCTGAAAGTTGCTAAATTTGAAAACACCGGGTTAAATGCTCTCAAAGCTCTCATCACTTCTTACTCCTTCTTGTTGTTCTACACAATCCTTCCTTTGTATATGCCAGGCTCCATGTAGTCTAATAGTCTACAAGGTCTTTCTTTAACTCACTAATAAATATTCCTTCTTTGTTGTGTGCAAGTTTCCAGAAATCATTTTGTAAGTTGCAAGTATTGTTTCTGTTTTTCTTGGCACATATGATTTGGTTGCACAAAGCTACTCCCACTGTTTTGGACATCAAGCTCAATGTCTTGCTTGTGGGTCAGAAATCCAACAAAAGCATCCCAGATGAATGGATGTTCAATCTGTGCTTGAAAGCCTCACATAGAAGGGAGCCCACTTCTTCCTTGGGTAAAAATCCAACTTTTTTCTAACATTCATTCTAACATTGGAACCTGCCTTCATATGATTTAACATTATAATTCTCTGTTCTGGAATGGTATTTCCAGGAAGTCTTCTCATTTCAGAGACAAGAACAACGTCACATTTCTAGCTACTGGAGAAGCCCCCCTATTCATTAACTGCAATGAATCTGGACTGCTTTAAGTAGAAGGGTTTCCCAGAAAACTTCACCAGCTTGAATAGTACAAATCATTAAAAACTATAGGAATGCAGTCAGAAAACTGCCAAACTCAAGAGTAGCTGTTAACCAACAACATACTGGCTATTGCATTAAAATTCAAATATTTAAATAGAACAGTGGTTCTCAACCTTTTTAATGCCGCGACCCCCAACTGGTCGTAAGTCGAGGACTACTCAACCGGTCGTAAGTCGAGGAATACTCAACTGGTGCAGCACCGTTTGCAGAATGGGACTTTTGGCGGGCTCAGCAGGGCAGAGACAGCCGGGACAATTCCTATTGGCTTTGGAAAGCCAATAGAATTAGACTCTATTCAAGAGAGTCTATTCTATTGGCTTTCAAAAGCCAATAGAATAAAAGGGAGTAGCACAGGTAAGGAACAGGGGAAAAAAATGGCGGACTGCGTTGTTTGGCAACCCCCGTGAAATGGTCATTCGACCCCAAATGGGGTCCCGACCCACAGGTTGAGAACCACTGAAATAGAATAATATACCATGGGAGTCTAAAACCTTTGACCGCATGGAGTGCATAGGGCATTACATAACATTGGGCAACAGGCCTAGTTGTTACTGTATTATCTGCAAGCTGGAAGAGAACAGAATCTTTGCCTTTTATACTTCTGCCGTACTTAAGTAAAATTATTTTTTTTTAAAAAAAAATGATAAATGTTTATCAATTTAAAATTATAAATCCTTATGCCAAGATAAATAAAAGGTCAGTAGTGAAGTATGTTCTTTGCCGGCTCCTCATCTTAAGTGTGCTGATGGCAGCATTTCATGTTTAATCAGGGTCAAAGCTCATCCACAACTTGGGCTAAGAGGTTGGTCAATAGGGAGCAACTGAGAAAGGTTCTTGGGGCAAACCAATAAGGTAGAATACTTAGTAGGAGCTTAGATCTTTGTCAACCCTTAAATTAAAAAATCCACATGGGATGTCGCAAAACAGATGAAACATAGATATTAAGCAAAAAAGCCAGATTCTTAATACAAAAGAAGGATTGGCAGAAAAGTCAATAGGCCAGTGGTTCAGCTGGCAATGCTGCATGCATACTTCAGTGAACATCAAGTTCATCTTGACTGCTTCTTCCAAGTTGGTCATAATTCTGAAATACTCTTTTCTCTTCCTCTCCATTCCTATTATGAAAATGAAGAAAGGGATAAGGGATTCCATATAACATCCCATGAGTAGACAGTTGATGGAGAATAGGTCAAGGCTATCTTCTTCAAATATCTGAAGAGTTATGTGTTATATAATATATTACATATCGTATCTCCACTATTATTTTCTCTGCTTGAGTCTGAACAAACTCACTTCTCTCAATCTCACCTTATATCTGCCAGTCCCTGAATATCTGTCTCTTCATGCCATCCACTTGTCTATTTTTTTCTTTACACATAGCACCCAGAACTGAACACTCAAGGTAGGAATTGACCAGAGCAAAACAGAATAAAGTACAGTTCACTTGATACAATCTAAAATGATATTTGAATTTTTCCAATTACGTCACACTTCACATTATTATTCTTATATACACTAAAATATATATCCAGAATAAATTCTATCCAATGCCATAGTGCAGTGATGGCGAATCTTTTAGAGACTGAATGCCCAAACTGCAACCCAAAACCCACTTATGCATTGTCAAGTGCCGGGTGGGTGTGGCCCATTGGGTGGGTGTAGGCCCATTGGGTGGGCATGGCCCATTGGGTGGGCGTGGCTGCAATGGTAATGGTAGACTGGGTGGAATTAAAAAGTTCAATCAATCAATTCCAACTTTGCAAGATCTTTCTTTTCCCACGAGAAATTGAAATTGACTGATTGAAACTTTTTTTTTTTTTTGCACACAGCGGCAGAGGCCTAAAGCGAAAAGGTTTTATAAAACCCAGCTGAAGGCCTAGGACTGGGGCGAAGGCACGTGTGCCCACAGAGAGGGCTCTGAGTGCCGCCTCTGGCACCCGTGTCATAGGTTCGCCACCACTGCCATAGAGTTATTTTAGGGAATTTTTCCTGTACTATTATATGTTTATTATTCTTTCTACAGGTGCATTTCCTCTAAACAAACTTGTAACTTCATCCTTGATATCAAACTCTTGAAAAAGGATCAAAAGATCTCCAGGTAAGTTTACTTACTTGTGTCAGTTACTGTATAGTGAAATCCTATAACCTCATCTTAACCTCATGGAGTCTAGAAGACCAGAAACCATCACAAGTAATAAAAATGTTTGAGTCAATGCAATTAAACATTTTCCTGACTTTTTTCACAGCCCTTTATTTTTATATTTTCTTTAGAACAGTTCCTCTGTTCCCTTACTGAAGTTAACAGGATAATTTGTTCCTCCATGTTTTCATTAATTCTCCATGATGTGTATAGAGGATGGCCATTTCCCATTTCTTTCTGCAGTGACCCTATTCCTTCTTTGATATTTTTTATCATTTTTTTTTATTTTGAAGATTCATATGGCCACACATGTTAGAGGACATCTCTGGACTCTGTGTCAAGTTGTCCCCAAGATGTCTGAAATCTTCTCTCAGTGACCTGGGTTGCATTCACTGCAGCCATTACGAGAGAGGCTCTCTGCAATGATAAGGGATGAAGCAGTCAGCCTTCCTCACTTCCACTCTATCTCTTCCCAAATGGCTTCACCAGGTTAGTTCTGGGTGAGGACAAGGAAAGCCAGCCTGGCAACCCACAGCAGCTCTTGTGTCTCATGTGAGGCCACTAGGGCAGACATGTCAAACACAAGGCCCAGGGGCCAGATGCGGCCCACAAAGTGGTTTCATGTGGCCCGCGAAGCCATCCTGGAAACAGTGAGGGAATGGCCCCCACTGCCTTGGCCCTGGCCCAGGCCAGCTGGGAGCCAATGTACAATTTTGTGGTGGCATTTTGGCACTTGCCCTGGTGGACCATGCCTTGGCGCTTGCCTCAGTCCCAGCCCCTTCTGCCAGAGATCCTCAGATCTGTCCCACTCCTGCCCAGGCCCCCCATTGGCACCCTTGATGCGAATGATGTAGAACTGGCCATGCCCACCCAGTAGGCCACACCCACTCCATCCACGCCCACCCAGTAGGTTGCACCCACTCTGGCCACATCCACCCAGCCCCCCCAGGGCAACCGCAATGTTGATGCAGCCCTCAGTGAAATTGAGTTTGACACCCCTGCACTAGGGAGTTTCAGAGGCCTTGGGAAGGGAAGGGAAGGGAAGAAGGGAAGAAACCAGGCATTGACAGGAGTCCCTACCAATGGAACACCCTCAGCCCCCTGGAGTTCATGTATCTCAAATGGCAAAAACAGATGTTTTCCAATTTTGAATTTTCTGGCAGCCCAATAAGGGATAAGGAGGTGTGGCAGTGCTTTGGAAAGAGTGCCTCTCTGGAAGCAGGGCCAAACCCCATGTAGAAATGACATCCTGCTAACAACTAATCAAGATAAACATCATAAAATAATACCCATACAAGTACACAAATTTCCATACCAATGCACAATATTTCTACCCATTCCAGCATCAAAAGTTTTGGGAACTGAAAGCTACAAAGGTTCTGCAATAGTTCCACCAAGTAATCTAGCTGAACTTGTTATCAGGGTATTCCAGTTCAAAACCATCAGTCTACGTTGTGTTTTAGCCACTATGTCTCAGGAAAACTCAGAGCCTCCCCCCCCCCACCCCAGCAAAAGTCCTATAGCCTGCAAATACATATATGTAAGACATATGGAGACACCATGCAACATAGCTGCAATGCTACACCACACAAAATCTGGCTATAAAAAAAATCAAAGTATAATGAGGTCAATTGTTTCTATCTCAGGCAGAACAGGAATTTACAGAAATTCATGGTTCCAATGGAAACCAAACAGAAGAGAAGGTGGAGCTTAGACAGGTTAGCACTGCAGCAGAGTCGTCTGTGGAAGAATTAACAGTGTGAGAATGGTGGGTGCAACCCAGCCATCAAAGTCTCACTCCATAAGGAGCATTGCATAAAAAGTGGCCAGGATCTGATTACCTAATTATGCCAGCCATTTTCACACACTGTTAACCTGCCCCCACCTCTCAGCCGCTGCACTGCAGCAGATCATTGTGGTGATGTAAGCAGGGCCATCTTATTCTAGGTACCTTGATCTTAATAACAAAGGTGGAGAGAAGCCCTGGAAAGAGACTGCATTAGAAATCTGAGCAAGATTGTCTCCTCACAGTTTGGAGATTGGATAGGCATGCCTACCATCTGCTGGAAGCCTACATATTTTTATAAACCTGAGCTCCCCGTGGCCTGCTAGATCCTCTCTAATAGTCCAAATCTGTAGATGAGACAGGACTGTTCAAACAGTGGAGCTTATCTTCTTTCTGCCCTGGAAGACCACTTTGAGAACCTAAACGAGCAAGGTCTTACTTCCAATAGATCAGGTTTTTGCAGCAATGGAACCTATTCTGTGGCAGCTTTTCTATCTTCTATTCCTAACAAACTGGAATTCTAATCTTTGCCTGAGTATGATGGCTTTCTATTTTACAACCACTAAATGTCAATTGTCCATGTAGAATGGTATGTGTTTGAACTGGACTGGACTGTGATTAGCTCAACTATCAATTCTACCACACATGCCTTTAATAATACTTGAATTATTACAGTAGTGCCAAAATTGTGGAAACCTTTTGGGAAAAGTGTACAGTAGAAATGTCACCTTTGGTTAAGTTTCCACCCATTTTTCTTCCAATTTCTTTATAACTGTAGCCTTGTTCACTTAATAATACTAGTTTACATTGCTTTCTCGGCAACCGGTCAACTCTTTGCACCATGATTTTAATTTTATTACGTTTTACAAGCTCACTCAATGAAAGAACAAAAAAAAACCCCAACCAACTTGATAGCGATCACATAACACACTGACAAATGTCCTCCGCTCAGCTTCAATACAGGACATCAATCACTGAATCCTACTGTGATCTGATTGGCTTATTGCCAAAACAAGATGACACCTTATTGGGTCTCTAAACACTCATATTCATTGGCTACAATCAGATGAAGGAAAGCTACCTGATATCAACCTAAGCAAGTTGTGCTTCCTTTTTCTGGTTATTTGGCTATAACTTTTCACAGAATACAGTACAGATAATTGAACAAATTTTATTGCATTACATTCTTGATTAAATTATCTTTCCATTGATATATAATTTTATGGTACTACTCAAAAACAAGTGGTGTTATTAGCCATCATATTTCAAAAATACACTTTTCCCAAAAGGTTTCCACAATTTTGGCCACTACTGTAAATTACTACATCATATTTTTGGGACAGTAAATGACAGCTACTATTCCTTACAGTTTTTCCCATTGACAAGTCAGGTGGCCTTGAGATTATGTTTTCATGTAGCCCCAATAGTAGAAGAGCCCTGGTGGTACAGCAGTTAAAGTGCAATCCTGCACTTTATTCTGCCCACTGCCTGAAGTTCGATCCTGACTAGTTCAAGGTTTACTCATCCTTCCGAGGTCATTAAAATGAGGATCCAGATTGTTGGGGGCAATATGCTGACTCTGTAAACTGCTTAGAGAGAACTGTAAAGCTCTGTGAAGTACAGTATATAAATCTAAATGCTATTGCTAGTAGACTTCAACGTCATAGAATGTTACAGGAAACTAGGATCCAGGAAGCAAATATGACTTTCAGTTCTGGCTCACTCATTCTGTTTTGCCACATTACAGTTCTTGTTATGAAAACTGGGCTAAACTCATTATGCTAAGCACATATAGGAGCAAGAATTGGGAGCTTGATTAAGTATTTCCTATCCCTTCCACTCTAAACAATTGTGATGATACATTGCACTTTTTCTTCTAACAAACAACACTTTTAGAAAGCTTTGCCTCAGATAATAAGGTGCATTGGGCATCTAAACCAGACATGTCAAACACAAGGCCCGGTGGCCGGATGCAGCCCGTGAAATGGTTTCATGTGGCCCGCGAAACCATCCTGGAAACAGTGAGTGAACGGGCCGGCCGGGAGTCAATGTAAATTTTGTGGTGGCCATCTATGCTGAAACGCATTCAGTCTTAGCTCCACAAGGCAGTCTAGAAATAGCGAGGAACTAGCCCCTGCCGCGTCAGCCCCACCCCTGGGTGCATGCTGGGGAAGTGTCACCCTTTGTGAGGAATGAAGAAATGGACCATGCCTTGGCGCTTACCCCAGTCCCACCCCCTTCTGCTAGAGACCCTCAAACTTGTCCCACTCCTGCCCAGGCCCCCACAGGCACCCTCAATGCGAACGATGTAGAGCTGGCTACGTCCACCCAGTAGGCCACATCGATTCCATCCACACCCACCCAGTAGGCCGCACTCACCCTGGCCACACCCACCTGGCCCCCCAAGGGCAACCACAATGCTGATGCGGCCCTCAATGAAATTGAGTTTGACACCCCTGATCTAAACAATGTCCCTGTAAAGTAAAGGCAGCAGAGCGTGTACCATTATTTCACTCAGTCACCATCAAGCAGTAATTTGTTTTTTTATGATATTTTTTTATGATAAAACCCTACTGAGTTAGACAAAGTCTTAGCTAATACAACAATCTCACTCCATAATAGCCAATGACGCCTCTAAGAAGCCCAAAAGAAATATATGCCTACAACAACAGTCTCCCACATTCACATCAAAGCAACTTATACTAAGAAGCAGAGTACTTTGACCTCTGAGCATGAGCAGTAGACTCTTCATGGTTATTATTTTGCATATCATAGTGCGATAAAAAACATTGCTATAGAAAATTTTGATTAACTGAATATGATAAATCAATTAAGGATACTCATTTATTATAACAGGCTAACCTGCAGAAATACAATATAACTTGTATAACTTCTTACAATAATACAATAATAGATAAAAGAGATAAAATACATTTGCAGATTTATTTTCAATTAACGGCAAGTAATTTCATAATGAAGGTTACAGGAAACAATCTGCCAGGTAGACTAATGTGAGAGTATCCAACTGAACCTTAATTTGAAATGACAATAATAAAGACAGGGGGATTTTATCAAACTCCCAGCTGATTCAATCCAAGGTCTTATTCAAGGCAAGATTTCTTTCCAACTCTGTTATTCTGATTTACGCAAGGCCAGTGTTAGATTTGGAACTAGTTAATTCTGCCAGCAGGTAAAGGTCTTGGAATAAGTACATTGCTTTTAGATCATCTACAATCGTAATCCTGGAAAGGACATTTGAGGTCATCTAATTTAACAGCTTGCTTACTGTCAGAACATCAATCCAGTCTGCACTGAAGGAAAACCTTCCCTTTCATGTGTTGTTCGTCCATCGATTTTCGATGAAGACCTTGACATCTTGTGGGTTGTGGGCCATCACCGAAGTGTCCGTAGGTGGCTAATAAGACCGATGTTAGCACAGAATGTTCTGCCACATATTGAACACAGAAATGTAGACACTGTTGATTCAGCATTTGCAGCTCTGGCTTTGCAGAGTGCTCGCTTTTCTTGTGCCAAGATTGTCCTTCTGTGTTCATATGTCTGGGAACCCTGGTACACCAAGGTGCGCCATGTCGGTCGATCATGCGCCAGAAGTTTCCAAGAGATGGTGTTAATATCCAGGGACTTAAGAGAAGCTTTTAGCGTGTCTTTGTATCGCTTCTTCTGTCCCCCGTGTGATCACTTTCCTTGAGACAGCTCACCATAGAAGAGCTGTTTAGGGATGCGATGATCTGGCATCCTTACAACATGGCCCGCCCAGCGCATCTGGGCTTTCATCAACAGAGTGTTGAATGAAAAGTGTTCATGTGGCAGCCTGAAGAATTGGGTTTAAAGACCACTCATCACACTGGCCCTTTTCTGAAACTGCTCCAATTTGTCATTATCTTATTTAATTCAAATGCCCAGTATTGGATACAATATTCCAAACTGGGTCTGATCAGGGAAGAATAATTTTGCAACTAACTCTTTGGTATATTGGGCAATTTTGGTCATGGGTTTTCCTGGGAAGGGTTCTGTATGGACTTTTGTGTCCTTCTGTTTGGGGACATAAAGGTGGCTGTCACCTTTTATATAGATATGTGGAATTTAAAATTGTTCCATCATGAAACATCATTAATTCTGCATATGCATCTTGCAAGAATTAGATTCATTCCACTATTCCATTCTCACACAGAAAACCCCTCGAACAGCATGCCTCTTGCAGGAACCCCAGCTCCCAAAAAGAAGAGAAAACCTACTAAACTCATTTTAGAATTAACCCAAGAAGGTAAGAGATATCCCATGAACACAAATTCCTTTTCCAATAATTCTTCACTAGTATCTAGACCAGTGGTTCTCAACCTGTGGGTCGGGACCCCATTTGGGGTCGAACGACCATTTCACGAGGGTCACCAAACAACACAGTCCGCCATTTTTTCCCCTTTTCCTTAGCTGTGCTACTCCCTTTTATTCTATTGGCTCTCGAAAGCCAATAGAATAGACTCTCTTGAATAGAGTCTAATTCTATTGGCTTTCAAAAGCCAATAGGAGTTGTCCAGGCTGTCTCTGCCCTGCTGAGCCCACCAAAAGTCCCATTCTGCAAACGGTGCTGCACCGGTTGAGTAGTCCTCAACTTACGACCGGTTGAGTAGTCCTCGACGTACGACCAGTTGGGGGTCACGGCATTAAAAAGGTTGAGAACCACTGATCTAGAGAATTATTTACAAAAAAAAAAAAAACGTAGAGGTTATTCTCCCACACAGAGCAATCACTTTGACATCATATATAGAACTACAGTTTTTGGAAAAGTCAAAGAGATGGAGAAGGAAATTATGACCAAATTATGGTGATAGCCAAAGAGAACACATTTGGAAACAAACGACAACCACAGAGGTTGAAATCCAAAGGGAAAAAAAACAGGTATTTCTCATGAATGTAAAAGTCAAAATATCACGGTCACTCAACACCTGTTTTTGTCATCAAGTCAATTGTTTTAGTTTGTTCAGCTCTATAGAAAGCTAAGGAGTCAGTAAAACTATATTTGGTTGAGGACACAGAGGAGATATTGTAGATGTCCATGATTTTCAATCATAATAATTAAAATTCAGACTTATGAAGGATCACCAGTTAAAACTGCAAGAATGTCTCCCATTCTCCCACAGAGTTTATGGCTTTACCCATCTTCAGGTAGGTTAAAATAAGGCAGCCTCAGTTGTGAATGTTAAAATCTCTCAAAGTCACCAATCTCAGGAGTTTTCAACTACATATCTTGGACTGCTTGATTAATTTAATTAGGAGACAGTTGTTCTGGGGGAAGAAAGGCATAGACTCCTATCTCATGTCCCAATATCAAATGTAGTATTCCCAACATCAGGCAGAGTGCTGAACGGGGTAACAAATCAGAGCGATGGAATTCCTAAATGCGCTCACTCCTTAAGCTACATGTTATTCCTAATAACTTGGCATATTTAGGAGATGTTCATATCTCATCCTCATCCCACTAGATTTCAGTGAGGCCAACTGGCCTGGTTTTTCAGGGAAAGTTAGAGATATGGTATGGTAATCAGTAATAAGAATCAGAGATGGAGGAGGAGAAAGGGAAGTTTACAGCCAAGCCATCAGATGTATGGAGGCAGAAACTTAAATGAAATCTTACACAGCAAATATTGAGCTCAAGTAGTAAGGTGACCAACTTTTTTACAATGAAAAGGAGGACACAAATAAATTGAAGAAAAAAATATCGTAAATAAAAGAAACATTTTATTCATTGCAACAATAATACAGACAACTTGCATGTGCAAAGTTTGCCAGCCGGGTGTTTTGGCGCGCTCAGCAGCAATTCCTATTGGCTTTCGAAAGCCAATAGGGGGAGTAGCACAGCTCATGCAAAAGTTGAAAAAAAAAAAACCATCAAAAAAGGTGCCAGAACGCCGTTCTGAGGGTTCTATGAGAGAAAAAAAAAGTCCTGCAGATTAGTCTTCAAATATCGAAAAGGAGGACATGTAGGAGGACGCTTTTTGAGGGAGCCAGAACTTACAAAAGGAGAACTGTCCTCCCTAAAAGAGGACGGTTGGTCACCTTACAAGTAGGAACTATATGTTCCCAAGAGTTGAGATTGTCCCTTATTAGAATTTCTAGTATGCATTTGCCCATCTTGATTTGAACTACAACGAAAATCACACAAAAAGCTACTAAAAAAAAACTTTAGCATTTTGCCATTTGACGTACTAATGGCATAGTCTCATTTACAAGGGTGCTTCAAACAACAGTTCTGAAAATGTCTTACTGAAATTAGTTTTACTGATCTTTCCTTTTCCTTTAATACTGTAAGGTTTACTGTGGATACAGTGATTTTCAAACCATGATGTTAAACTAGTGCACTGAGAACAATGGAAGAATGGTGTGAAGATCACCCATTTCCCAAAAAAATTCCTTAACATCTAGAACAAGGTAGGCAACCTTAGCTCTTTTATGACTTGTGGACTTCAACTCCCAGAATTCCTGAGCCAGCCATGCTGAGGGGAAAGGGAGAGGTTTCCAAGCTGAGCCATGCTGGCTCAGGAATTCTGGGAGTTGAAGTCCACAAGTCACAAAAGAGCCAAGGTGGCCTACCCTGTTCTAGAATAATATTACTTTTCCAATTTTTAAATATACAGTATTTATTTTTACTGCCCACCTCATTTCCCAGGCTCAATACAACCATAATTGCTGGTAAACAGCCAGATCCCAAAGCTTTGGTATATAATTCAACATCACATTAACATCTTTAACATTTAAAGGTTATCCCATAAATTGTCAACCGTCAAATTCAACATTGAGGAAACTTTACAGCTTTCAGGTGCCATAAAAGATAAACTTTATTGAATACACATCTCGGTACTGAAGAAGCAAAATAAACTCTAAGTTTCTCACGTGAAAATCTGGTTAGTTAACAATAGATTTCCATAATCTCACTTCTTTGGTTTGTTATAAGAACTTCTCCATCAGACACCTGCTTTTGTGACCTTGGTTCTCATGGTCCGCGGATGGCTTCTTAACACTCCCATTTCTTTCCCAAGCTTCCCCTCTCCCCTGTTTCTATTGCAAGTTGAGTAGCGACAGAGGTTAGCAAGCTAGCTTAGCTATTCAATCTTGACATAAATCTATTTACACAGTATATCCTAAATCAGAGGTGGCGAACCTATGGCACGGGTGCCAGAGGCGGCACTCAGAGTCCTCTCTGTGGGCACACACGCCGTCACCCCAGTCCTAGGTCTTCAGCTGGGTTTTATAAAACCTTTTCGCTTTAGGCCTCTGCTGCCGTGTGCAAAAAAAAAAAAAAAGTTCAATCAATCAGTCAATTTCAACTTCTCGTGGGGAAAAAAAAGATCTTGCAAAGTTGGAATTGATTGATTGAACCTTTTAGTCCCACTCTGTCTGCCGTTACCACTACAACCGTGCTCACCCAATGGGCCACATCCACCCAGTGGGCCATATCCACCCAATTGGCCATACCCACCCGGCACCCGACGCTCCATAAGTGAGTTTTGGGTTGCAATTTGGGCACTCGGTCTCTAAAAGGTTCACCATCACTGTCCTAAATACAAGTTTTTAACAAATCAGCTTTAACCTCAAATCTGTTGATACCATTTATAAACATCTTTTTTTTTTAAAAAAAAAAAAAAAGAATTTTATTAATTTTCTATGATTACAACTCATTAGTGCTTGATGGATAATGAGCTACAGGGCTGCTGGGTCAAGACAAAGTCCTCAGGATCAGCATTTCTGACTCACTCAGAAGAGAAAGGAAAAGAAGGGCAGAGACAGGAGAGGCTATAAAAGGAGACAGTTTTGGTGAGAGAGGGAAGGGGGGGGAAGGACGCAGCCTGGGGAAGAGGAGGAGTCAGATGGAGCTGCACCGAAGAGAAAAGAAGGAAGAGGGGGGGAGAGTGGACAGGAGATCAAACAGTTCAGCCGGGAGCCAATCTACAACTTCGTGGCAGCCATCCGTGTCAGTCATGCACACAGGTGGCAGCAAAAAAACAATGAAAGGGAAGCACTCAGAACAAAGTCAGCCTGCAGGGCAAAACAGTCACCTGGGATGCCAGGCCCCATGCGCTCGCTGCTTCCTGTACGCGCACCCAGGCAGGTTCGGCTTCTTGCCAGCTTCACCCCGCCCCGCCTCTCCACGCGGTGAGGAGAGTCTGCTGCTGCCTGCCGAAACCAGGCAGTCTGGGGGGTGGGCAGCATAGTGCAAGTAACATGGACTCTCACGCTGCTCGCAGCGTCCCCTCCCCCAGAGCCCACAGAGCCGGGTGTGTGAAGTGGGTGAGGGCCATTTGCTGGGGGATGGTGCCTTTCTTCATTCCTCATGGAGGTTGACCCCTGCTGTGTTTCTTGCCTGTTTTTCTCCCTTCGTCATCGTAAATATCTTCCCGCCACTCTGCTCTTAAGGCTGTGCGGCTCTTTTCCAGGAATTTGCAGTGGCCTTTCAAGCCATGGCCACCGGCCTCTCCCCCTCCCCTTGTCCCTTCCTGGGCACGGATGGAGAGAGGGAGGAAGGAAGAAAGGAGATGGGAATGAGAAAGGGAGGGAGGGAGGGAAGGAGGAAGGGAGGGAGGGAAAAAGGAAGGAAGGAAGGAAGGAAGGAAGGAAGGAAGGAAGGAAGGAAGGAAGGAAGGAAGGAAGGAAGGAGATGGGAATGAGAAGCAGGTAGGCAGGAAAAGAGGGAGAGTAGGGAGGGAGGGAGGAAAGGGAGATTGGAATGAGAGGGAGGGAGGGTCTTAGGGAAGTCCTGCCTTAGTACTTGGCCACCAACAGCCCTGCTGCCCTTTCACCATCCCCTTGCCCCCTCCTCCTGGCCTATCTGCATGGTCTCCCATCCTATCTCTAAGGATGCTTTGGTTACAAAGCCGGGTCTCCTCATATGGAGAGGGAGTGGGCCTCTGACCCAAGCACTTTGCCCTCCTGCACCCACCATGAGCAACCTGGCCAAGGAGAGTGGACACATTAGCAGCAGCAGCCTTGACAAGGAGGTAAGCACAGCCAGGCGCTCCCTTGGGGAAGTGGGGCTGGACTGGGCTAGGCTGGGCTGCAGGGTCCTTGTGCCCCAGGAGCTTGAGGGCCAGGCTGGGTGCTTGCCTTGTACTGCCCAGGGCTCCGGGCAGCCCATGCCACTGGACAAGAGGGATGGTGAGGCTCCTCCAGTGGACCATGCCCTGGTGCCCACCCCAGTCCCACCCCCTCCACTAGAGACCCCCGGATCCCCCCCCACAGCCCCACCTGCAACCCCTACAGGCGCCCCACAACCTGAGCGACATTGAGCTGGCCACACACCCACACACACACCCTCGGCCATTGACTTTGCTTGTCAAAAGTTTGCAAAAGGGGATCACATGACCCTGGAACACTGTGACCGTCATAAATATGAAGCGGTTGCCAAGCATCCAAGTGTAAATCACATGACCCCGGGGATGCTTCAACAGTCATAAGTGTGAAAATTGGTCATAAGTCATTTTTTTCAATGCCATTGCAACTTCGAACAGTCACTAAGCAAACTGTTGTAAGTCGAGGACTACCTGAACTTTATCACTTTTTTTTTCTTGTTTGGGGGGGGTGTCATCAAGTTTTTGACACTTTGCTAGGCGACTGGTGGTACTCGGATATTGCCGTATCCTAAAAGTGGTACAATGGGTGAAAAGGTTGAAAAGCCCTGCCTTAGAACATGCTTAAGTTGAAGATATTACCACTGTTGCAAACTGTGGGGACAAATTCAGTTTGAATCAGAAGGGTGGAAATGTCTAGCAATTTAGAGATGCAGGTAATTTGCATTTGCCACGATCAGGACATAATGAATCAAAACTAGCTTTGGGTTTAGTTGCAGATGACAATCTAGGTAGGCCTAAAGATCCAGCAACAACACCAGATCCAGGCAAAGCCAGGTGAAGATACTTACAGAGAAATATTCAAGAAAGAAAGGGAAAGGGAGAAGAAGGCTTAACAATTCCAGAACATGGTGGTTTTCTCTTGCAGTTTCATCCTCGGGCATTTAACTTCTTATGGAGTACATTCTGTTAGGGAAAGCAAATTTTAGTAGTCATATTAGGTCAGTGGTTCTCAACCTTTTTAATGCCGCGACCCCAACCGGTCGTAAGTCGAGGACTACCCAACCAGTTGTAAGTCAAGGACTTTCCCTGCCCGGGAGCGCCACGCATGCATGGTGCCACCCCCTGCGCCAGCCGAGGCATAGCTGGCAAGGCCGACCACCGGCTGGCCACCAGCTGGCCCAGCCCAAGGGAGGTAAGGCACCTGCCGGGCCCCACAGGTGCCAGCAACCCTCCCTGCGCCCGCCGGCCTCCCACCTCCCACCCCTGGCCCTCTTTTACTTACATTTTTAGTAGTTGCTCAGCAGGGAGGGGTGGAAACTTTCAGACAGCTCACCTTCGCTGCAGACAACTTGCAGCACCATTTGCAGAATGGGACTTTTGGCAGGCTCAGCAGGGCAGAGACAGCCTGGACAATTCCTATTGGCTTTTGAAAGCCAATGGAATTAGATTCTATTCAAGAGAGTCTATTCTATTGGCTTTCAAAAGCCAATAGAATAAAAGGGAGTAGCACAGCTAAGGAAAAGGGGGAAAAAATGGCGGACTGCATTGTTTGGCGACCCCCCCCCCCGTGAAATGGTCATTCGACCCCAAATGGGGTCCCGACCCACAGGTTGAGAACCACTGTATTAGGTAGAGAGAGGCTGTTGAGCTGTTCTAGTGGCCTTGGCTAAGGAATTGAAATGCAGGTTAAGTTTTATAATAGGCTTCTTCTGCTTTTCTAATAGGCTTCTTCTTGTACCTCTTCAGTCATGCCGCAAGAAAGCTCCAAGCTGAACCTCGGGAAGAAGATCAGCATTCCCAGGGATGTGATGCTAGAGGAACTCTCTCTCCTTACCAACAGGGGATCCAAGATGTTTAAACTTCGACAGATGAGAGTAGAGAAATTCATATATGAAAACAACCCTGATGTCTTCAGCAGCAATTCTGTGGTAGGTACAAACAGGAACAGGAATGGACGATCTGGTAAATTCACATTGTCAGGCTGGATCTAGGTAATACATATGAAGCTGTAAAGAGAATTTTCCATTTGTAGTCCACTCTTAACTTCTTTTCACACCATAAAAATCCCCAAAAGGGAAAAGTTGGAATAGCTGCATAAAATCTTTTGATAGTGTCAGAATCCAATTATATTTCATTTCTAGTTATCGACTATGGAAAACCCCATTTCTGCCCTCTCTGGATTCTGTCATACTCCGAAGGGGGAGGGGGATGAGCAAAGGGGTTTTATGGCTCTCCCTTCCTTCAAAGAGACTGAATGTGGATTCTCACCAAGAGGACTGACCGTAACAATATGGCCATGACCTTTCATCTACTACTCTCTGAAGTCTCCCTTTGGCTGGCAGTAAGGGAAAAGGGGGGGAACAATGCAGCGCCTGGAGTCTGGGAAAAGAGGAGGAGGATCGTCGCCCGGAAGAACTGTGGTGTGATGGGGGCTGCTTGAAAACACTTAAAACATTGAAGGGTGGGAGAGAATTCCTCAGATCCTGTCTAGCACGCCTACAATCATTTTATCTTAATAAATATGCCTGTTGGAAAAGATATTCCAAGAGTTCTGTATTCTTAAGATGTAAAGTGAGGTGGGTCCTTACAGATAGGTAGCTGTAAGCCAGTGGTTCTCAATCTGTGGGTCGGGACCCCATTTGGGGTCGAACGACCATTTCACGGGGGTCGCCAAACAACGCAGTCCACCATTTTTCCCCCTTTTCCTTAGCTGTGCTACTCCCTTTTATTCTGTTGGCTTTTGAAAGCCAATAGAATAGACTCTCTTGAATAGAGTCTAATTCTATTGGCTTTCAAAAGCCAATAGGGATTGTCCAGGCTGTCTCTGCCCTGCTGAGCCCGCCAAAAGTCCCATTCTGCAAATGTTGAGTAGTCCTTGACTTACGACTGGTTGAGTAGTCCTCGACTTATGACCGGTTGGGGGTCGCGGCATTAAAAAGGTTGAGAACCACTGCTCTAAGCCCTGTCCTTTTGAAAGCACCAAGAATTGCATTTGGAAGGAAAAAAAAATAGTAAATTTGTGTGCATCCAAAAAGGAAAGCGTTTTTCTACCGTTTCCATCCTTCCATTTTATTCTGTAGTTCTGATACATCGTCAGTGGAATACAAAATTGCTTTTGTTTTCGTTTTGTTTTTCATTCATTGATCTTCCTCATTACGTTGGGACGAAACGTTGTTCAGTTTAGCAGAAACAGAACTTCTTATTTTCCTAAGATTTGCAGCTTTTAAAAAGGGACTGGACAGTCATGTGTCTGAAATAGTATAGGCCAAGGTCTCTTGCTCGAGCAGCGGGTTGGATTAGATGACCTCCAAGGTCCCTTCCAACTATGATATTCTGTTATTATATTAATTCTGAGCTCACTAATGTGAATCACTCCAAGACTGCAGCAAAAATATATAAAAACTCTTAACTCTGCTGCTATCCAGTTTTTTACAGTCCAGATAATAATAATAATAATAGTAATAATAATAATAATAATAACATAACACCCCAGACTTAACAATTGTCGATAAGAAAGACAAAAAAGTCTGGATAGTGGACGTGGCAGTGCCTGGAGATAGCAGAATAGAAGAGAAAGAACTGGAGAAGATAACAAAATACAAAGACCTACAAATAGAAATAGAAAGAATGTGGCAAAAGCAAGCAAGGGTAGTACCAATAGTAATAGGCTCCTTGGGTGCAATCCCAAAACAACTGGAGCACCACTTGAACACCATTGGCATTGACAAATTCGCTATTAGTCAATTGCAAAAGGCGGCCTTACTAGGAACTGCTTCCATCCTGCGACGATATCTGTAATACCATCAAACTTCCACATCTGCCTATCCCAGGTCCTGGGTAAGGACTCGATAGGTAGACAAAATGCCAAATCCAGTCTGAACATCTGGCTGACTGTGCGATAATAATAATAATAATAATAATAATAATAATAATAATAATAATAATAATGAAGTTTGAAGGGACCTTGGAGGTCATCTAGTTCAACCCCCTGCTCAGGCAGGAAACCCTATACCATTTCGGACAAATGGCTGTCCAGTCTCTTCTTAAAATCTTCCAGTGTTGGAGCATTCACAGTTTCTGGAGGCAGGTTGTTCCACTGGTTAATTGTTCTAGCTGTCAGGAAGTTTCTCCTTAGTTCTAGGTTGCTTCTCTCCTTGATTAGTTTCCATCCATTGCTTCTTGTCCTGCCTTCAGGCACTTTGGAGAATAACTTGACTCCCTCTTCTTTGGGGCAGCCCCTGAGATATTGGAAGACTGCTATCATGTCCCCCCTCATCCTTCTCTTCATTAAACAGGGCATACCCAATTCCAGCAGCCATTCCTTATATGCTTTAGCCTCCAGTCCCCTAATCATCTTTGTTGCTCTTCTCTGTACTCTTTCTAGAGTCTCAACATCTTTTTTACATCGTGGTGACCAAAACTGGATGCGATATTCCAAGTGTGGCCTTACCAAGGCATTGCAAAGTGTATTAATACTTCACGTGATCTTAGGAAGTCCTGCACAACCATCTCTTGGTAGATTAAAAACATATTTATGCTGAATTATAATGGAGACCAAAAAGAATTTTGAAATACGTGCAATTCCTGTTCTCACTCTTCCTATCTGTTTCTTGTTGATGTTACATTTACTCATTTTCTGTTTTGTAGCTTAACTATAAATTTTGGTTACTATCCCTTTCCTTCCTGCTTTTCCGCAGAATCACTTATTTTGCGCTTTTTTTTAAATTGTCAATCTGAGGCTGGTTACTCTCAATAGACGAAGGTTGCTCGTCTCCTCCTGTGGCACAATGCCCTTCCTCTCGCTCAGCCTTCCTCCTCCTACCAATGGAATTCTCTGGGAAAATTCTTCTCTGGGAGAAGGCAGGTATGTCTGTTGCTGGCCTCCTCCTCTTCTTGCTCCTTGCCCTCTTGCCCTCCAGCTACTTTCTGGGCCATTCTTTCTTTGATCCTGGCCTTGTCTCTGTAATAACAAAGGGATGGAGGGGGGAGAGAAGGCTGCCCCGCTCTCAGCTGTCATGGTTCCGACAGAGACAAATAAAGCAGAACTCCAAGGCTTGCAAGTTCCTCAAAGAACATGTTTATTGATACAGAGCTTCGGCACGTCAAAAGTGAAACCAAGTCTGAATAGACACGTAACAATCCCCAATACAAAGTTAAGAAATCCCACCCCTAAAGCTATGCAAGCTACTATGTTCCCCAATACATCTTCTTGGTGGGCTTTTCATGACACGCCCAGCCTGCAATTCTGGGAGCAGCCGATGACCTTGGGTCCCATAGGAGAAAATCTGTTTAATCTAGTAAAGCACCTGGTAAACCCCCCTCCCTCTGTGCTATGTGTCAACTGAAAATGAATAGGGAAAATGGCTGCAGCCACGCTCATTTTCAAAGTTGACATCAGCATTGCCTGAAATTTCTGCTGGGTTCTCTTGCAGATTATATGTTCTCCTTTTATCTACAGCAGGGGTAGGCAACCTTGGCTCTTTTATGACTCGTGGACTTCAACTCCCAGAATTCCTCGTGGACTTCAACTTCCTTGGAGTTGAAGTCCATGAGTCATAAAAGAGCCAAGGCTGCCTACCCCTGATCTGTACAATCCCACACCCTCCACAGTGAGCCCCCTTCTTCATCTCACCATCTCACCCCTTTCTTCTTCAGGACACCAGCTTTTGTGATTTCTTTCTACGGGCTTTGCGACTTCTGGTGGTGTCCTTTTTATGTCCTCGTCTTTCCTTTCCTTTTTTTTATGAAGATTCATATGATGCTTCAAAAAATAACAACGCAGGCAGGCTACCTGAAAACATGAAGGAAGATGTTAAAATGATAGTCAAAAGTATCATGCAATCTATTTGTTATGCTCAATCATGAATTTCTGAAGCTGGCCGTATGCTCGTGGTATACACTGTGCCTGGTTTTATCATTCAGTGAATAAATAAAACTGAATAGTAAGTGATATCAGGCTTGAGGAAAGGTTTTTCCTAACTCATATCCCATTTTCTCTTATGTCCACCTACATGTGAAGCTAGCGGGTCAGTTGAGGGGAGCAGGTGGACCTTGTGAAACACAGAGAATTGCACCTTGCAAGAAATGGCAATAGCCAAAAAGCTCTGGAAGTGCATGGTTTCACCCACAAAGTTTTTTTTTGAAACAATACAGAATACGGCTGCAGGATAGCTCTGCTCTGCTCCCCACAGCCAGTTTCGTCCTGCCAGGGGGACCCTAAATGGGTCTGAAGTTGCCCCAAAGAGGTGACTGTGAAGGAGGGGTGCTCCGTTGATCACGAAATGATGGTGGTCATTTCGTTCAATCTGGAGGAAGTCCTCCAACCCGACAGGAGAAAGGCTAGCGTGGCATCAGCGTCTAGCCCATGGGTGTCAAACTCACAACGTCACATGACGTGTCACGACGTATTATAACTTTTTTCCCATTGCCAGAAATGGGGTGGGCACGGTTTTGGCATGACGCATCTGGCCCATGGACTGGCAGTTTGATACCCCTGGTCTAGCCCAAGCTACCTGCAGCCAAAGTCCAAGAGCACGAACAAGAACATCGGTGAACAGCGTGTTTGAAACTAGTGAGTGTATTCATCTTCTCTCTTCTATCTACTAACTGAATCCTTGGAAAAGACCCCCAAAGCAAGAAAACCTCTGAAAGTGAAGGGAGGGGACTGTATCCCCATTCTCTCATAGACGGAAGCAGCGAATTAATACTAAGGGAGAAAGAAATAGACTGAAATTAAATTTAAAATACTACAGTCTGGACAAATCTAGAAACTAAAAACTGTTAAGACTACACCCCAAAGGGTTTTAATGAAATTATAAAAAATATATAACAATAATAATTTTTTGTCTGAAAAAACTGAAAAATGAACAACTACTGACATCTAGTGGAGAATTAGAGCACAGAAACTAACAATAATGACTCAGAAATTGGCAGGATGCCTAGAAACAAAGAATAATCGGTTCCCTTAAATTTTAAATAATCTTGAAGACAGCTGGGAACAAAGAAAGAGCTGGCCCAGCCATAAGATTAAAAAGTGTCTGAAAGAAAAATACCTGGACTGTTGACTAACTTTAAAAATTGTTTAGAGAAAAAGAAAAAACTTTGGCTCTTGGCTAATCTTTTAGAGGAGAATCTACAGGAAGGACTTAAAGTGGCTTAACATACTGAATTGCAATTTTGACAGATTGATAATTAACCCCTGAACTAAAATATTGATGAAAACTATTTGAAGAGGGGAGACAACATGGATATCATAGATTTATCAACAAATGACAGGACACCACACTCAATATTCACTCTAAAGGATTTAGCCTGGAACATCAAAGACTCTCAGAAGCAATATTTCAAGGCAAGACAAATACTTTCCAAGAGGAAATGTATGCAGTGTTATGATAGATACAAATGACAATAGATTTAAACCACAAGGAAATCCAGAACAACTTTGATGACATAAATAAGCACATCTCTAATCTAAATCTACAATCAAAAAACACCCAGAAAATGATGACAAATGAACAAACAAATCAGATAACAGAACACAAATTAAAAGAACATGATTATATCAACAAAGCTACAAATGAAAAGAATTACAATCCAACACAAACAGGAAAAATCTACAAAACTTTGATATAACAATAAAAATGGAGTGGACTATAGAATTCCCAGGAGAATCATTAGTGTTTGGGAGATATAAAGTATATATCATACCTATTCTATCTTCTGTATTACCAATAATACTTGCAAAAACACAGGAACTGCCGAGTAAGTGGAATATATCAACTTGGAAAACTATTCAGCAAAAGAAGAAGGCTAGAGACAGATTCAAGAGATTTGACTCGCCCTACCAGATGGAGCGTTACATGAGTAAACATTTGTCTGAATACAGTTAAAAGAATAGAGAACTTTGAACATAAAGGGGCTCTATAACAAGAGGGATAAGAGATTTAAATAATATAGTATGTTTTAAATATATGAAATGTAAAAATATTGGGATGATTTAACTTTATTTATGAACTTTATTTTTCCCGTACCATAAAAAAGTGTGCCACCCCAATTGTAAATCATGCCCTTCCAGATATAACAGCCTTTTATTTCTAAGAGTTATCCATTCTTTTACACATGTTAATACAGATGCTTGATAATATAAAACCCACTCTGCATTATTCCAGTTGATTAAAATCCCTTCTGGCATTAACCATTTGAAATTTATGCCCTTTGCAATCAGCTTTGTAGTTAAGAAATGATATTGTCTTCTCTTACTGTCTTGGGTATCTGTTTTAAGACCACAATTTCTTTATTTTCGTATTGTAATGGCTCATCTCTAACTTTTCTCAATATTTCATCTCTTGTTGTTTTCTTTATAAATCACACATGTACTTCTGTGGGTAGTTTGCATTTCCTTGCGTAGCTTGAATTCATTCAAAATATTTCATCTATCTCCATTTGCATCTCTGCTCTGTTTGCTTTCAAAACCTCTGCCAGGAGATCAATAATCACAACTGCTATATTTTCTTCTCTGTCTTCAGGAACATTTTGAAATCTTAAGTAGTGTTCCGCTTTCTCCATTTGTAAGATCGTCACCACTTCTTCTAGATTTTGGTTTGCTTGTTCTAATTTTTCATTTTCTTGCATTAGTATTTCCATTTTTGTCAATATCATCTGATTTATTTTCCACTTTCTAAATTCTTTGTTCATTTTTGACACTCATTTGATGGTGGACTTCAAATTGTGTCTATGTCCAAGATTTGTTCGCTTAATTTATCAAAGTTACTTTTTGTCTGTTCATGATTCTTTTGCATTGATTCTTGAATCAATTTTAATGTAGTTTGCATCTCATTTTGAGCAGTGCTTATTTTCTCATGCTGCAACATTGTTTCAATAGATCCCTTGATTGTTGAGCTAGGTGTTCCAACAGAGGGTGCAGAGGAAGTCTTTATCATAAGCCTGGTGAGGTTTGATGTACTCATTTTTCCAGCCAACTATCTTAGGCTAAAATCCAAACCGTAAAAGGAGCCAACTACTTTAGGCTAAATCCAATATCTCAAGGAGAGAAAACAAAATAAAACAAGAAAAAAGAAAAAAGAAAAAAAGTTAACTATCTTAGGCTAAAATCCAGCCAAAAAGAACGAGCCAACTACTTTAGGCCAAACCCAAATCCTCCAGTCAAGTCTCAGATGTAAAATGTCTGCTGTCTCCAAGTAATTCCTGTTTTGGTTATATCCAGAGTCAACAAATATAATTGTAGAAAGTCTTTTCACTTGTAAACTCACACTTTGTTTACACCTGGTGTTGTTTCAAGGTCAAACACTTTCAGATTCTTTTATTATTTAGTGTTACTGTAGTATCGTCTTTCACCACTAGATGCCCTCATACACTGTTTTGTCAAAATCTGGTTTTAAAAGATTATTAAAAAGTTTTTCTTTTAAAGTTCTTTATAAGTTAATTACCCTAGGAATTATACCTAAAAAAAAAATTCCCCACATCCTGTAGGTTAAGTAGTCTTTCTTTGAGTAAGTCTAAGTTCAGTTTTTAAGAGTTCTTTTATATTCCTTAAAATCCTTCCCCCTCCTGTAGTTGTTTGCCACCTTTAACTCTCTTCTCCCCTAGTCCTTCTGGGGTCTTTACTTTATAGGTCCTCCCAATCAGGGGATCAACATTTTTAGGTCCAAAAGGAAAAAGAAAAAGAGCAGGCTCACCCAGTTTCAGCACGCTATTGACAATCAGCTCTTTAGCGGAGTGCTGTGCCTCCTCACTTTTCTTCCGACTGGCGATGACTTGGACTGCCTGGGCTTACCAGGCAGCCTTTCCTTTGTCCTTTTACAGGGTTTCTTCAGTCTGGTCCAGACTCCTGAGGCATCCCTCCTTCTTCATTGCCCCTCCAGAGCAACTTTCCAACCCCTTGGGGTCACCGGGCAGAACGAAATCGGGCTAAGAAGCCAGAGCCCCATCTTCTTCCACCCATCTCATCGAATGCCAAACCAGAAGTACACCTCTCATGCCTCTCCTGTTATCCTTAAAATAGGGCACTCATATAGGTATAGGATAGGGAGATTCCCCAGAGCTTTGTCTGGATCATTTGCTAATGGCTTTATGCCAGACTGCATATTCAGTGACCTGCTCTGAAGCTTTATGACTGGTGCTAAATGCAGCAAAGAGAGTATTATAACTCAGGCTTTGGGTGTTCCATGTCTACTCACCTATATTTAGCAGTCCAGATAGCTGATACTGGAAGCCTGTTTACAGCCTACGGAACTTTCTTCCCTAAACTGTGCTGCACATAGAATAAATAAATGCATAGTGTTTCTATGTGCAAGCAGCAGCCAGTTGTGAGGCAGGAAGAAGGGAGACTTCCACTTGGAAAAGACTAAGTTCATAAATTTGTCCCCTCATAGAGCAATATAGTAATTTAAATCTTGATTCTGCCTTTTAATGCTAGCCTACCTGTAGCTGTGTCTCAAGGATACCCCCTTCTAATGATTTAGTTCTCAAAATTAAAATAAACTATTGAAAATACTACAATTATCAGCAGCAGCACTTCATTTGCATATGAATCAACCTATTGTTGCTCATCATCAAAGCACAATAGGGTTCAATAATATTAGCAGATAAAAAAAGAAATATGAAATGTGTTTTTTGATAATTGTTTATTTTGTCCCTTTCTTTTACTTTATCCTTCTTTTTCTTACATTTCCCTTCCATCTTCTTACCCAGGATCACTTCCAGAGGTTTATCCCATCTGTTGGGGGACATTATGGAGCTGATTCCTATAAATACTCTCATAGTGGTGGGAGGATGGTGAGTGGTATAAGTGTAGGACCATATGGATCCACCAAACTGCAATATCCTCCCACTCCTCCTCCAAAGCCTGGGAGCAAAGGTGGAGCTGGAAGAACTGGAACTGGCCACAGCGAGGGGTCTGCCGGCAGAGAGGGAGGAGTGGATGGAGGCGGAAATGGAAAGGAGACTGGGAGTGGAAAAGGTAAGCACTTATTTTCATCCAATAGATTAATAAATAAAAATGCTTAGTAGTGTTGAAAGAAAAATCTTCATCAGGGTCCAGTCCAAGCCGGGAATAAACAAAATGGAGACTGCTTTAGAAAGAAGGTTGCAGTTTGTTGAAGAGTAAAACCACAAGACAGAAATGTGCCTCTTGGAAAGCTGACCACATGTTGCTGGGAGTGGTGGGTTTTTATACCTGCTTGGGCTTTTGTGTTTGAGGTTGTTTCCTGTTCCTGTGGCATGAACTTTGACCTGAGCTTTTCAGCATGTCCTTCTGATGGTGGTGGGTTAATCCTATTATGTCATAAAGGTCATATCCTGCTCCCCTGGCTGATGGCTGATGGCTATATCAAAGATAAGATAGGAAATAAATTAGAGCGGGTAGGTGTATTTGTGTACTTTGTAGAATGTTTACTAAACAGTTAAAAGTAAGTGGAGAACTATTAGATAGAAATACCGATGCAAAGGCAGCTAGTTCATGGTCCAATGCAGAGGATGAACATTTATTGAAAGAAATTAAAATAGCTTTATGTAAAAACCCAATTTGTTATCAAGGAGTAAGAGTCTTACAGGTTAGATATACATAAAACTGTGAATGGAGTACTAAGAAAGTGTAGGCGGTGTCATGAAAAAAAAACTATAAATAATGAATGGTGATGCATGTGGCTTGAACACACAAGTGAGTAAGTACGTTGAGGTAGTTTCATCATAAAAGGAAAACAAATAAGGATCAAATTGCCAAACAAACATATGAAGGAAGAATGAATAGTCTGAGAGGAGGGAGAGATTCAAGGGAATTGTGGTTGAATTATGAGATTTATTTATTCACCAAATTTTGAAACCACCCATCTCCCTCACAGAGGGACTCTGGGCTGTATAAAAATATGAAAATATAAAAACAGTATATAAAATGTTAAAAAGAGCCAGAATAATTAAAAACCAATGCTAAAAGTTAATTAAAAGGAAGGGGGTTTTCAAGGCACTAACTAATCCCACAACTGCATGTTCCTCTGTGAGTCCCATGCAGCGCAGAGCAATGTTTTCACACCTTTCCAAAAGGCCAGGTGAGTGGGGGCCTGTCTCATTTCTGGGGGAACCTACAAAAAGTTTGAAAACATTAGTATTTCGATGTGGTGAATCAAAGATGGATTGCAAGGATAGAGAAATATAGAGAGGTATAATGACTTTTGTTGGTGTAAACTCGATTTAGTTAGATTGCCTTTTTTCTCACACCTTTAATTTCTTTCTCTTAGTATTTCTTACTCATTGTCTGTATTTTGTATAATACAATTTAAAATAGTTCATTTAGTGCAGGGGTAGGCAACCTTGGCTCTTTTATGACTCGTGGACTTCAACTCCCAGAATTCCTGAGCCAGCATGGGGAAAACTTTGGCTCCTTCGTGACTCGTGGACTTCAACTCCCAGAATTCCTGAGCCAACATGGCTCAGCTTGGAAACCTCTCCCTTTCCCCTCAATGTGGCTGGCTCAGGAATTCTGGGAATTGAAGTCCAAGCCTCATAAAAGAGCCAAGGTTGCCTACCCCTGATTAAGCCCATTCAAAGTTACAATAGCACTGAAAAAAGTGACTTGTAACCGTTTTTCTTGCTTACATATGTTGCAGCGTCTCCAGGGTCATGTGATCAAATTAAAATGCTTGGCAACTGACTCATCTATGTGATGGTTGCAGTGTCCCAGAGTCACGTGATCACCTTTTGTGACCTTCTGACAAGCAAAATCAATGGGGAAACAAGATTCAATTAACAACCACATGGCTCACTTAACAACTGCGGCAGGAAAGGCCGCAAAATGGGGCAAAATTCACTTAGCAAATTTCTTGTTTAGCGACATAAATTTTGGACTCAGTTGTAGTTGTAAGTCGAGGACTACCTGTATTGCTTTTCACAGAAGAGAAATGGGGATATAGCGAGGGAGGAAAGGGTATGGTTCATAAAAAGAATTGAGGCCTTTGAACTATGGTGCTGGAGAAGACTCCTGCGAGTCCCCTGGACTGCAAGGCGATCAAACCGGTCAGTCCTAGAGGGGATCAACCCTGACTGCTCTTTAGAAGGCCAGATCCTGAAGTTGAAACTCAAGTATTTTGGCCACCTAATGAGAAGGAAGGACTCCCTGGAGAAGAGCCTAATGCTGGGAAAGATGGAGGGCAAGAGAAGAACGGGACGACAGAGAAGGAGGTGGCTGGATGGAGTCACTGAAGCAGTAGGCGTGAGCTTCAATGGACTCCAGAAGATGGTAGAGGACAGGAAGGCCTGGAGGAACATTGTCCATGGGGTCTCAATGGGTCGGACACGACTTAGCAACTAACAACAATAAAAACAAATGTATTTCTGACAGTTGCACTTAAGAACTACAGTGGTTCATTTAACAATTGTGCCAAAAAAAAAAGATTGTAAAATGGGCTGCAACTCATTTCACAACTGCCTTACTTAGCAATGGAAATTTTGGGGTCGACTATGGTCCTAAGCGGAGGAGTACCTGTATTCATCCCTCAGTTCAGGATGTGGCTTTGTATGTTTTTTCTTGACTTACCTTTTCTTCTTTTCCTTTATATTGTAGGTGAAAATAAAAGTGGGAGTGGGAAAGGAAAAGTTTCCCTTCTTAAGACGTACATTTCTCCTTGGGAAAGAGCCCTAGGCCTTACCCCACAAGAGAAAAGCGAACTCGTCTTTGATGTCTTGTCTTATGGCACCAAAGGAGACCTCTGTCATTACAAATCTTTCAATAGGTAAGGGAAAATGCTTGCAAGTGTGGCAGGGCTGGCAGTAGATAGAAATGTGAGGGTCAATGAGATAAATTGTGAGTACTGCAGGCCACTTTAGTTGATTGTGTTCAGCAGCTCAGCGGTTCAAATCTCACCGGCTCAAGGTTGACTCAGCCTTCCATCCTTCCGAGATAGGTAAAATGAGGAGCCAGATTGTTGGGGGCAATGGAAATATATATATACATTGCTTACTGGTGTACACCGCTTAGAGAGTGCTTGCACTTAAAGCGGTATATAAGTCTCATAAATAAATAAATAAATCAGGGGTGTCAAACTCAATTTCATTGAGGGCTGCATCAGCATTGCGGTTGCCCTCGGGGGAGGCATGGCCAGGGTGGGTGCGGCCTACTGGGTGGGCGTGGGTGGAGTGGGTGTGGCCTACTGGGTGGGCATGGCCAGCTCTACATTGTTTGAGTCAAGGGTGCCTGTGGGGCCTGGGCAGGAGTGGGACAGATCTGAGGGTCTCTGGCAGAAGGGGGTGGGACCGGGACAAGTGCCAAGGCATGGTCCATTTCTTCATTCCTTACAAAGGGTGACACCTCCCCAGCATGCACCCAGGGGGCGGGGCCGACGTGGCAGGGGCTAGTTCCTCGTTGTGTCTAGTCGGCCTTGTGGAGCTAAGACTGAATGTGTTTCAGCGTAGATGGCCACCACAAAATTGTACATTGGCTCCTGGCCAGCCTGGGCCAGGGCCAAGGCAGTGGGGGCCGTTCCCTCACTGTTTCCAGGATGGCTTTGCGGGCCACATGAAACCACTTCGCGGGCTGCATCCGCCCCCTGGGCCTTGTGTTTGACATGTCTGAGATAAATGATATGTTGACTATCCTGGCATTTCAGCTTCTTGACCACGAGTGCTTTCTTTCTAACTAATGAGGAGGCATGAAAAACAGTCACCATTGAACACATTCTCATGCTGGTTGGCAGAAAAAAGACAAATCTTTCATGAGCCAGGAATGGAACTTGTATGAGAGGAATCATCATTTTTCATATTCAAGCGTACCATAACACGTTCATAACAAAGCTGTACTCTATAGCCTTTTAGATCTGTTGACTCAGAAGGGCAGTAGAAAAATGTCTCTAAAATTTAAATCCTGGAAAGTAGACCCCAGCAGGTGTTGGTTGCTATGTCTTGCAGCAGGCAGTTATTTTATGTGAATACAGTTCATTTAAATCTGCATGAAAGAAACTAATCAAGCTGTGTTATGTTTTCAAGATTTCTGCTAAGAAGCAGTTTACTGAAGATGCTACATTATACCCTAGACTTAGTGAGAAGGGCAAGATAGTTGTAATAGTGGAAGTTGCCATTCCTGGAGATAGCAGAATAGAATAAGAAGAACTGGAGAAAAAATTACAAAATAAACTATGGCAAAAGAGTATGACAAAAGAAAGCAAAGATATTACCAATAGTAATAGGCCCCTTGGATGCAATCCTAAAACATCTGGAGCACCACTTGGACACCATCAGCACTGACATTTCCAATTCTTGGAAGTTTAGCTTAGACAAATCAACCATCAATAGGCACATAGAGATAAACAACATCTACATACCATTCAAAAGAGACAACCAAAAAAGGATAGATTGAAATTGCTACAAATTGATGTTTGTTTGTATAGTTTGTATTGACCAACTTTTTTGCATTAAATCTGGGTAGCGGATATGTTTTTGAATCAGCCACATCTTACTTTTAAATAATTTTCTTGGACTTTAATGTGCCTTATACAATCTACAATGTAAATGATATATAAATGTTATATATACCTAATTATTATCTTAATATGTTTCTACACATTTCCATAACACATTTATGACAGAGGATTTTGTCTACCCATTCATTCATTTATTCTGAAATGCACTCTCTGTTTTGGGAGAGAGAAATGCACCTGGTTGCTTAGAAATAGAACTATGAATAGCTATTAATACAGGATTGGATTGATTGGTTGAATAGTTAAAATCTGTTGAACTACTAAGTTGGCGGGGAAAGGCTATGATGTCTATAAACCCTGACGGTTGATTCGCTTTTCCCTAGGACTGCAATGCCTTATGGGGGATATGAGAAGGCAGCCAAACTGATGACCTTCCAAATGCCTGAATTTGACGTTGGCCCTTTGGTACCTGAGCCTCTTATTGTGTATAATCAAGAAGTCTCCAATCGACCTTCCTTTAACAGGACCCCAGTACCCTGGCTGGGGTCGGGAGAACCAACTGATTACAGCATTGAGGTGAATGTACCACTGGCAGGTGAAACAGAAGAATTGTAGAAATCCCTTCCTCTCCTTAAAGCTGCTGGTTTGCATGTCTGTGTTAAGGAGCTGAACATGCAGACATTTCTCAACGTTGCCCTAAGGATAGCCACATTTTAATGCATCTCTGCTGTGGTTATTGATCCACGTTGGGGTTTGAAGAAAACAAAGCAAGGGGGGAAAAGAGTCTTTTTATTTGCACTCGAAAGCATAAATACAAAACCCTGTGATACTTAATGCTTCTGGTCTGGTCTGTCCCAACTTTGTCCCATGGTTTTGTCATTTGGCAAAATGAATAAAGCATCTACAAAGATAGAAGACAATACGATATTTCTTTCTTGGTTTTATGGGTTCTGTCTAAAAGAGATTGTCTTCCCTCGATTGATTTTCGTTCAGGAAACAGCAGGGATCAGGACCTTGATTAAGAAACTGAGAGCCAGACTGTGCTGTGGTTAAGATGCTGCGCTAGAAACCAGGAGACAGTGAATTCTAGTCCCACCTTAGGCATGAAAATTGCCTGGGTGACTTTGACTCAGTCTTTGGCCCAGTGGTTCTCAACCTGTGGGTCGGGACCCCATTTGGGGTCGAACGACCATTTCACGGGGGTCGCCAAACAAGGCTGTCCGCCATTTTTTTCCCCCTTTTCTTTGGCCACTCCCCTGGCACCTGGTGATGTATAAGTGGTTGGGGGTCACCACAACATGGGGAACTGTATTATGGGGTCGTGGCATTAGAAAGATTGAGAACAACTGCTTTGGCCCTCTCTCTTAGCCCAGCCCATTTCACAGGGCTGCCATTGTGGGAAGGTAGGAAGAGGAAGGACTACTATATTATGTTTACTGCCTTGAGTTACTTACAACATAATGAAGGTGGGATAAAAGAAATCTAACAAACACATAAAATAAGCTTGAAAAACGTGTTAAAATGAATGATAATAGCATGTTAACAATCCAATGTGGCAGCTTATGCCTGCTATACATTCATACTTGACCATTAAAAATATATCTACTCACAGAAGATGAGGAACTCCTATTACAATTTAGGCACATTTCTTGAAAGCCATATCCACAGTTCTCCTTCTATTCCAGAACTGATATGAAATTATGCTGTTCTGTATATATTGCTGCTTCCTTAGTGCGTACCTAGTGTTAGATTTAATCAGAGCCCCAAAAGAAAAGCAGCCATTTCCCTACTATGTCCAAGTAGAAAAAAACTCAAGCAGCAACATTAAAAAAAAAATAAAAGAAAAAAATACTTCCTGCTGCTCTGTCTAGAGCAGTGTTCCTCAACCTTGACAATTTTAAGGCATGTAGACTTCAACTCCCAGAATTGCTGGCTGTAGAATTCTGGGAGTTGAAGTCCACATGCCTTAAAATTGTCAAGATTGAGAAACACTGGTCTAGAACAGGGGTAGGCAACCTTGGCTCTTTTATGACTCGTGGACTTCAACTTTGTTGAAAGCACAGGGGTCACTGCATTTCTACAGTTTCACAGTTTACTTTTCTTATGGTAACTGTGTATCAACTTGTTAAGCAGTTCTTAATAGCTTGCCGGAGGCTATTCCTCTAGACCAGTGGTTCTCAACCTGTGGGTCGGGACCCCATTTGGGGTCAAATGACCATTTCACGGGGTTGCCAAACCGCCATTTTTTCCCCTTTTCCCTAGCTGTCCTACTCCCTCTTATTGGTGGCCACACCCACTTGGGGGCCACCACAACATGGGGAACTGTATTATGGGGTCACGGCATTAGAAAGGTTGAGAACCACTGCTCTAGACCAGGGGTAGGCAACCTTGGGTCTTTTATGACTGGTGGACTTCAACTCCCAGAATTCCTAAGCCAGCCACGCTGAGGGGAAAGGGAGAGCTTTCCAAGCTGAGCCATGCTGGCTCAGGAATTCTGGGAGTTGAAATCCATGAGTCATAAAAGAGCCAAGGTTGCCTAACCTTGATTTAGAACATTTTGCAACCTAGGTTAAGTTCCAAAGCATGGGCCTCAATTCCCAGAATTCCACAAGAATAGTGTTGCCAAGAATCCTAGGTACTAAAGCATTTGAAAGTTGCCCAAATGGGAAATGCTGATTTAGAAGCTTGAATCTTAGTCATAATCAAGCTGCTAACTGATGAATATAAGATCCTTACAATTTGGTTTTGCACACTGGATACAAGAGCGATATTGAAAAATCAGCCTCTGAGGCTGTTGAAGGAAAAGTCTTCATCATGGTTCAGTCCAAGCTGGGAATAAATAACATGGCGACTGCTCTAGAAAGAAGATTGCAGTTTATTGGAGAAGAGAGCCAGACAGAAAGATGGCTCTGAAAGAAAAGAGTGAGTGAGCACATGCAGGGAGTTGGTTTTTATACCATCTGGAGCCTTTTGTTTGGAGTTGTTCCTGTGGCATGAACTTTGACATGAGTCTGAGTGTGCCTTTCTGGTATTCTAATGGTGGTTGGTTAATTCTATTATGTCCCAAGGGCCATATCCTGTTATCAGTGGCTGATAACTTTTAGACTTTTGGTATTGATTCTAGGGATCTTTCTTCCTAATCCCAGTTTCCTGACTCCAGTCTTTCTGACAAGATTATCACATCTGCATTTTGCAAACTTGGTTTCTTCTTTGGGACACAGACTCTTGGGGGAGGGGTTGGTTTCTACCTTTAAACTCCTTTAGGGAAACATATTCTGCCTTTTAAATATTTCCAAGAATATTTCTTTCTCTGGGGGGGGGCTGACTTCCCACAATGCCCACTGAGAGGGCTTTGGCCCTCTGCAGATTCTCCGCCTAGTCGAGACTTGCCAGGCGATTGATGAAAGGGGGCATCTCCTCCCCCACTCCCCGGTTAGCGGGTGAGAAAGGCGCAGACCCCCCCTCCTAAGAGAAATAGCCCGCCCGAGCCCAACTCTCCGCCTCAAGAGCCTCCATAACCGCAGAACCATCGGAACAAAGCCGCCGGCGGCAGCGGCGGAGGCGGCGGAGTACGGAGAAAGCGAGTATCAACGGAGGTCACCTCAGCGAGGATCGGTGATGGGCGTGGCTCTTCTCGTGCTCTCGCGAGAGGTCGCTGCCGGCCTCCCGGTAGCCATAGCAGCGGGCTGACGAGAGGGGATTCCCTCCATACGGCCCTGTCCTCTTGGGCCCCGGCGGTGAGTCAGTGGCGGCGGCCGCGGACAGCGATTCCGGCCCGGGAGGGGGGGGGGCATCGCCAAAGGGAGACGGGTTCGCCTTTTCCTCCTCGGGGTGGCTCGTGAGGGGCTTTGGAAAGAGGCGGCCAGGCGGCCGGTAGGGCTTCCCTTCAAGATGGAGGGTCTTTCTCGCCCTCCCTTATTCTTGGGCCTTCGGGCTGCAGGCCCGCTGCTCGCTCGGCGGCTACTCCGCCTCCCCGAAGCCCCTCGCCGCTGCGGTTGAACTGGGTGGGGGGTGTGCAGCTTCGTTCCCAGTTTGCTCTGCAGGGCGACGCTGCCGCGCGGAACCCCGTGAGGGAGAAAAGCCGGGCGCTTCACCTGGCGGGAGCGGGGTTAGAGAGCCGTGGGGAATGGGTCCCCTTGTGATTGGAAGATGCCCGGCTGCCTCTTGCGTTTTTTAATCCTTCTGGAGCCGGTTGTGACGTTTTCCCCCGCTCTAAATTTGTATGGACTCTTCTGTCAGTACACAATAAAACTGACTTTTAAATATCCCGCATCTCCGCCGTTATGAAGTTTTTTTTTGCTAGTTCTCTTTCTCTTTCTTTCCTTCCTTCCTTCCTTCCTTCCTTCCTTCCTTCCTTCCTTCCTTCCTTCCTTCCTTCCTTCCTTCTTTCTTTCTTTCTTTCTTTCTTTCTTTCTTTCTTTCTTTCTTTCTTTCTTTCTTTCTTTCTTTCTTTCTTTCTTTCCCCAGACTGTAATATTTAGAGAAACATTTACCTTGTAAATGCTATATTAGCGGGCCAACCTATTCTCATTTATTCAGGTTTCACCGATTTCTTTTTGCTGTATTTGCTACTCCCTCAGTGTTGGCCGGGATTTTGTAAGACTGTTAATGTACGTTGAAATTATAAACTTTTTGGGGGGTGTTCGTTCTAGTGTTCAATGCATTGTATTATATTTCTGAACTTTTAGTCAGTTTTCAGAGCAGGTATGCAAAGCTACAGACTTATGAAAAAATATATATGGAAATTATAAACTTTTTTTAGCTGTTAAGTGTTCTGAACTTTTAGTCAGTTTTCAGAGCAGTATGCAAGGCTGCAGACTTATGAAAAAATATATATGGAAATTATAAAGTTTTTTTTAGCTGTTAAGTGTTCGTTCTAGTGTTCAATGCATTGTATTATATTTCTGAACTTTTAGTCAGTTTTCAGAGCAGGTATGCAAAGCTACAGACTTATGAAAAAATATATATGGAAATTATAAACTTTTTTTAGCTGTTAAGTGTTCTGAACTTTTAGTCAGTTTTCAGAGCAGGTATGCAAGGCTGCAGACTTATGAAAAAATATATATGGAAATTATAAAGTTTTTTTAGCTGTTAAGTGTTCGTTCTACTGTTCAATGCATTGTATTATATTTCTGAACTTTTAGTCAGTTTTCAGAGCAGGTATGCAAGGTTACAACTTATGAAAAAATGTATATGGAAATTATAAACTTTTTTTAGCTGTTAAGTGTTCGTTCTAGTGTTCAATGCATTGTATTATATTTCTGAACTTTTAGTCAGTTTTCAGAGCAGGTATGCAAGGTTACAACTTATGAAAAAATGTATATGGAAATTATAAACTTTTTAGCTATTAAGTGTTTGTTCTAGTTCAATGCATTGTATTATATTTCTGAACTTTTAGTCAGTTTTCAGAGCAGGTATGCAAGGCTACAGACTTATATGAAAAAAAATATATGTTGGACAGAATGCTATCGTTGTCTGGATTCACACATCATACTAGTTATAATTTGTTTTAAGCATAGTTTGTGGAAGAAATCATAAGGCCACCCCATCAAGAGATAGAATTTGCTCAGTTTGCTGAGATAAGCCAAATCTCATCATGCATTTGATTTCTGTTATAGAATAGATGAATTGATTTAATACTGTAGATTGAAGTGGGAGATAAGAGTTGTTAAATGCAGAATTACGTATCTTTTGAAGTTATCCCTTATGGATCTTGTGTGACTGCTTTGGCAAATGATGAACTCCAAACAGTCAAGATAGAATCTAGTGAGTACATTCTACAATTTGTCACAACACATCTTATCTTTTTTCTGTACAGTGTGAAGAAATCTCAGATCCTTGATTATCATTGGGTGTGATTTTGGTATTAAAACTGACCTGGTTGCCCAGATCCACGTAAAGAAGAAATGAAACTTTTTATCTCCCATTTTTCAGTTTCTGAGTAAAGTATCTGATTTAAGATTAGGAGCAATTAGGGGACCAGAAGGCAATGCTGCAGATTATAGCAAACAAGAAAGCCTCTGCTTGTGCTTGTTGAGCTATCTTTCTAAAGCACCACTATTTCACATAATTTCTTCCTTTCAGCTTTTTTAGACAGTTAAAAACATCAACACTTATAGATGAAATAAAGAATGGGCACTGCTAGACAGAGCAAATGCTAACAATGAGAAAATTCTTGATGTTCTTTTGGGTGCTGAGTGCCAGAGAAATAATCTTGCCATGGTTATCTATGCTTTGTTAACTTATGTATATTACATGGATGTGAAGTTTTGCAAAACTGAATTTTACTTCACTCAAAAGAAAACCACTATATTGCTAACTAGTTGTATGAGACAGCAACAAGCTGCAATATTTAGGATAGTGACAGCACTCCCATTGTTCTGGAACAGTATACTTGTTCTTAGCCAGAAGACTTAGGACACAATTCAAGATATAGATATTATCTTAAAGTCCTTTGTGACTTAAAGCTATACTATACATCTAAATAATCATTTACATATCAGCCCATCTGTTTATGGAAGAAATCTAAAAGAGTTTTTCAAATGAATTTACCAGGTAATTGATCTTTTATGTGTGATCCTATCTGTGAAATTCAATGTAGAGAAAAGTAAAGTCTTACACTTAGGCAAGAAAAATGAAAAGTTCACATATAGATTGGGTGAAACCAGGCTTAGTAGCAATAACTGTGAGAGGGATCTTGAAGTCTTAGTGGACAATCAAATATGAGACAACAGTGTGTGGCAGCAGCCAAAAAAGCCAATGCAATCCTAAGTTGCATTAACAGATTCAGTCAAGATCACGTGAGGTACTAATAACACCCTATAAAGCCTTATTAAGACCACACCAAGAATACTGCAACCAATTTTGGTCTCCACACTATAAAAAAGATGTTGAGACTAGGAAAAAGTGCAGAGAAGAGCAACAAAGTTGATTAGGCTAAAACATATGAAGAACGGTTACAAGAACTGGGCATGGCTAGCCTAGTGAAGAGAAGGATCAGGGAAGACAACTATAAAAGAAATATCTAAATCAAACTGAATATTTATTATATAGATCATAATATAGCTAAATCCATATTAAGATAGACCATCAAAAAAATCACAAAATAGGTGCAAGCTTTCACAGAATCAGAATTCTACAGTTGGAAGGTGACCTCAGAGATCATCTAGCCCAAACCCTGCTTCGTGCAGATTTTTTTTCTGCTATTTTTAAATCTGAAAAAAAACTGCAAAAAGAAACCAGTTGAAAGTGTACAGGGAAAAAAGTGGCAATAGTAAGTAATGTATTTTTTATGGTCAATCAAAAGTAGAAATAAATCCTCAGGTCATGTTGCACTCACCACCATAGGGTGAAATTGGATTGGTATTATATGTGCTATTCATTACCTCAAGTAATTAGATGAGAATATTAAATATGAAAACGCTCTTTGAATAATTAAACAACTGAGTATTTTACAAATATTCCATATTCATTTTGAAAATTGCACCAATGGTTTGTATTTGAGTGTGCAAAAAAATATATCCTGGACTGACAGTGAAGCAAAGTGACAAAATATTCAAGGACCAATGAATGAAATACAATCACTACACTAAAGAAATTTTGTGATCTGGACTTTGAATAGAATAGAATAGATCTGGAAGGGACCTTGGAGGTCTTCTAGTCCAGCCCCCTGCTCAAGCAGGAGAACCTATACCATTTCAGAAAAGTGACTGTCTAGTCTCTTCTTTAAAATCACCAGTGATGGAGCACCCACGATTTCTGAAGGCAAACTGCTCTACTGGTTAATTGTCCTCACTGTTAGGAAGTTTCTCCTTAATTTAAACTTAGAAACACTATTCATTATTTGCATACCCTATTACGCCCCCCAAGAGTTTTTTTCATTCATCCTAGTTGAGGTCTATGTACCACCCCAAGCTTGCATAAGCAAGGCATCGCAAATCTTAACTAATCAAATCCTGTGGGCTGAACAGAGATATCCAGACTTCCTATTCATTGTATTAGATTTTAACAGTGCTAACCTAAGCCAAGAGCTGCCAGAATACATTCAGTATGTCAGCTGTCTCACAAGAGGCAAGAATATTTTAGACCAGAGGTCCCCAACCTTTTGGGCACCAGGGACTGGTTTTGTGGAGAAAGGTTTTTCTGCGGACTGGAGGGGGTGTGGCATCCTGTGGATGGGGCTTTCCTTGTTTGTGCGGACTGGTTGCTGGCATGCCGCGGCCCGGTATTGGCCCATGGATCGGGGGTTGGAGACCCCTGTTTTAGACCACTGCTACTCTACAATAAAAGATGCCTATCACTCTCCACCAAGAGTGGCTGTGGGATACTTTCATTACTGTATGATTCACCTTATACCCGTTTATAGGCAAAATCATAAAGCCAATAGTTAAAACAGTGAAATCCTGGACTGAAGAGGCAAAGCTAAAGCTACAGGCTTGCCTCGACTACACAGACTGGAACCTTTTTGAAGCTGCCTTGGGACTTGGATGAACTCACTGACACTGTGATATCATAAGTTAGCTTATGTGTGCTGACCAAAACCTTACACATTTACATTAATAAACCTTGATTCACAGCTAATCTCAAACATCTAGGCTGTGTCAAAGAGGAAGGGAAAGGAGATAAAATGCTGTACAATCAGGCCAGGAATCTATTAACAAGGGAAATCAGGGCAGCAAAGAAAAAGCTGAGGAATCAGCTTTCCACAAATGAACCAGTAAATATGTGGAAAAGCCTA